CATCTAAAACTGCCTAAGTAGCGTTTTAACACAAAAATGCTCAGTAAAATCCAAGCTGGCATATACTTACCAAAAATAGGAAAGCGAAAATTCAGGGTGATCAAAATCAAAGTTGAGGCTTTGCCCACGGGAAGAAAGAGAAAGTCACTTGATTGCAACTTTTAATCAACTCAATGTTTATAATACAGGGAATACTAAGTGTTTTCCTTGGAAATGAAATCCCTTACCACATTGGTGAGTAAGGCTAGACTGTGTGTGACAAGTGCTGTATCAGAGTCTCCTCACCACTTCTAAACCTATCATATACATCTGATGCTAGGACAGCGGCCTTCATTGACATGTCCTCTTCCCCCCCATCTTGAGATGTAGGTTGGAACATGTGGGTTGAAGATGAACGCTCTATCCCCTTGGGAGTCTGCTGTTTAAGCTTGTCGAAAGCTTGTCAACAGACAGTTGGCCACTGGAAATTGTCCCTTCTGGTGAGAGGTGAGGAACGTATATTGAGTTCACTGAAGAAATGGCATCCTCGCTATTTCATTCTTCTGTTGATCCAGATATGTGCCCAGTTCCTCTGACAGGAGACATGGGAAGTCCTGTAACAGACTACTATCTTTCATGACTGCACGTACCTCCCTCGCATAACCATTGTTCTGTAGATCCAAGCTTGTGGATGAGATTCTCTATAACTCTGCATCGCATTGTAGCAGTAGCACGCATGCAGTTCTGCCGGCATCTTGTGCTTCACTTTCGCCAGGAAGGGACCTCGGGATGGGCCAGAGAGTTTTGAGCTGTTGAAATTGCTTAGGTTGACTGGCGGTAAAAGGGGTCCAGCTTTACTTTGCTTTTCCGATCCAGCGGTAAAAGGGGTAAATGGGGGAACTGTTTTCTGTGCTCACCTTGTACTCTGGATATTTTGGCGCCTGTATCCTCCTTGGCAGTGAAAGGCAGAGATAACCTTTCCCATTCTGAAGATATATCATGAGGTGGAAGGGCTTACTGTCTGACCACAAACCCTGTTGTGAAGCCCTTGATGTTGTAAGGTATGCGTCAGGAGTCCTTGCTGCTTGCTTACAGGGAGGAGAAGGGGCTTCTGACGCAGCTTGGGGTATGAAAACCTTTTCCAACCACTCCACGAAGAGGTTTGCCTCTATCCATCCTTTTGATGATAAGCAAACAAAGTATTCCTGAAAGACGTCATTTGGCTTGTACCCATGGAACAGAACTCCAGGATAGATGAGCATTAGGTGGAGGTAGGTTCCCGCTGCATTACAACAAGTCAAAACAGTAATGTTTTGGTGCGTGTCGTTTGCGACACTGACGACATGCTTTGTGCCTGTGTGTGTTAATACTCTTTCAGTGATGGCATCAAGACTGAAGCCACTTTCGTCGCAGTTGTAGATTCTTGATGGATCAAGAAGGATGGTCGGATCTATGTTCTTGATGGTTTGTCCATAATCCGTAAACCACTTCTGAATCATCCCCTCTCTAACAAATGCTTATTGCTGGCCCTATTTCTATAGTGTTCTGAAACTTAGCCTGTTTCTTTTTCTTGAAGAGCTGAAACCAAGTTTTACTTAGCCTGTTGTCTTTCGCCTTGGTTGCCTTGCCCTTGGAATTGAGATATCTCTTCACCGTGTCCAAGACATCATCTTTTCCAACCCCGAATCCATGCTGGGCCATTCCAACAACCCAGTTGGCGATTTCTGTCTCTTCTTCTGCTGTGACCATTGTTGTAGGTGCGTGAAGTAGCTTCCTGCGTATACTAAGTTTGTCACAGAATGTTGACCAAGGTATTCCATACGTTTCTGCGGCCTGTCTCTTCTTCATGCCCTTCCCTACATCTTCGAAGGCCAGATGTAAATTTTCTTGCGTCCACATAGGTGTTCCCTTTTTTGGGGTGGCCTTTTATTTTAAAGGACTCATGATGTTTTTGGGCTCTCTGCAAACGGAGCAAAAACAAATGTGCTCAGTAAAAGTAAAACTTAGGCCAGATTGTAGTAGGGTTTCTAACCCGACCAGACCTGAATCCATGCACACAATAATTTTCGTCATGCAAGTTTAGTCACAAGTTGAACACCATATATTTGAAATTGAAACCAATGTGGTATAAATCGGTCGGGGTTAGACCACCCCACTGTACTAGTAAGTTAGGGCTTGGTATTAAAATGTAGTTGTTAGTAGATCTTGTTAGTACATGTAGTTATAAGTGGTTTGTAGTTTTTTTTAAAAGAAAACAGAAAAAAAGAAAGAAAGAAAAAATAGGACCCTTTTAGGGCCGCACCCGTTGTCACCTCTTAATTAAACACGAGATTTAGGTGCAGCTATAATTGGCCGCACGAAGGTTCTTGCCATCAATTGTGGAAATGGAAACTTAC